TCACACGAAATATCCGAAGATCAAGTCATTCTTAATTAATGTGTCAATTCCCTAGAAAAAAAATTGCATAATTTGGACTGTCCACCCCTTGAATAACCCCCCGAAAGAAATTCCACCCACCCCCGACTCTGCACACCCCAAAAATCAGCCTCCAACCGGAGCTATATTTTCCAGCCTCGTAATGGGTCGTCTGAGTGCGGGCCGTACAGTCCGCCCCCAAAACTAATGCAATTTCTGCTGGGCGTGCGTCTGCTAACTTCAGCCTCATTCATATAACCAGTGGTCATCGGCACCAAGTTCATTTGAAAATACACGTCCGAAAGGTTCTTGAGACCACTTTATTCCCCGAAGAAAAATTGAAAAAACGTCTTGTAGGGACTTGGTGCATTATTAAAATCCCCAGTGGTCATCGGCACCACGGCCATTGGAAAGTATATGTCCCATTCATGTACAATCATCTACGGAGACTTGGTGTACAATTGAAATATCCAGTGATCACCACGTGAGAATCTAAAACCACGCTCTTCTGACTCCAGGAGCGTGATTATTCCTCGAGGAAATTCATCCCCTAAGTTACTGTGTTGTGGGGCATACCCGGAGCACCCTTGTCAATGTCCAAGACCTATAGAAAATGTTCTACGTGATTTAATTCACCTTAAAATTATCTTTATTTTCATCTATTTGATTTCAACATGAAACCCCTTCTTTACCACAAAATGATATTTTGGTGCATTGCCGCCAGATGGCCACACCTTCCCTTTCCCATTGGTAAATTTACAAGACGGTCATGTGTAGCGTGTTGGTTATTCGCGACCGCAACGTAGATGTGGGAGCCATCAAGTGGTCTCTAAACTAACTACTCTTGGGGGGCAACCAACGAGATCCCTCGGAGGAAACCAATGATGGAGCTCAACAAATGAGATCAAAGTGAATCCAGTGATCTCATTGGTTGCCCGCCAAGAGTAGTTAGTGGAGAGATCACTTGATGGCTCCCACACCTACGTTGCGATCGCGAATAGGGGAGTCATGGGGGATAAATTCTCAGGAGCTAACACTCAGAGGTCAAATTGAGGGCCTATTCTCAAAGGTTCAAGTTAGGGCCAACTCTGAGGGATCTAACTAAAGGCTCTTAAGGGTCAAACTGAGGGCCAATTCTCAGGGATCAAACCGGGGGTCCAAATGCCCACCAAAAATCGAAATGATCACGAAAATCCGTGGCATGGCCGTAGGTAAATCCATATGTGATTTTTGCCAATACTTTCCATTAAATGTAAAATAAATCATAATTTGTCAAGTATTGGAAATATGAAAAAATACCAAAGTATGAAAAAAAGCAATGCATTTTTTGGCATTGAAAAATATTACAAAAATCTTTCTTTTTATTATGAAAAAATCCATGTTAACAAATGTAAAGAAAAATCCTATCGAAGAGAAGGGAGCACTGTCATCGCGGCCACCACAAATGTCATGGCGCACTGTCACGAGGCGTTTATGACGGGTGTCACAATTTCCCCTCGTCTCTACAACTTCACAATTTATAGATGCAACTTCATTTTTTACACACAATTTTTATTTTTATTGCTTTCGTATTATGTAGTCTAATGTGCATTTTGAAATGAAAATCTCTACAGATGAAACTATTTTTTGAATTTATGACTTTCACAAATTATCACGTAGTTATGACTGTCATTATGCATCTATATAGATGGTTTGACAATAATTTGCGTACAAATTTGTACGGATTTGTGACCATCTTTTGTAGTTAGGAAGTTACCTGCGTCACATGACCGTCATTATTGGTCATATGGCGCGATCTCGCAAATGGCAGTCATTTTGCATCCTAGTCATGGGCACAGTGATGAAAAAATTGTAGTCGAATTCGAGGGATTTCGACACCTGTTCGAAATCCCTCGGCAGTTCTTATTAAATGTTTCTCTAATGTGAGCCTTCGTGCAGAGCGTATGCGACAAGCATATGAATACCTATAAAAATGCATACCCGAGAATTCCTACAGAAAAGATCTCAGCAGAGTATGCTATTTAGAAAAATCAAAATCTATTGACATTTTTCTATCAGAAAATAGTGAATTGAAAAACGCATGGTAAAACTGTATGACTTTCTATACAAATCGACGGGAAAAAAATGACATTTTTCATGGAATCTCAATAGAATATCGAGTAAAAAGATTATATTTTTTCATTGAAGTTTTCATGCGCGTTATTTGCGATTCTCGAGATGAATTACATTGAGGAATTCCACAGATTTTGCACGCGATCTTTTATAGAAAATGTTTAATAATAACTCTTTTACAAAAACAAAAAATCAGTTGAATTTGGTCTTTCGAGACAACTTTTTCTATTGAGACATTTTCCATAGGAATTCATCAATATCAATTTTCTGTTTCTTCCACTTCATTTTTTTCTTCTCCCACTAAAAAACTCAAACAAAAAACTGGGAAACTTTGAGTCTAAGAATTTCTATAGAAAATATCTCAATAGAATAAGTTGTATAGATAAATAAAATTCGATTGAATCGATGAAAAAATAGAATTTGCGATACGCGTTCAATAGAAATCCAATAGAATTTCCTAGAAAATTCGTTAGACTTTGCTATCAAATTTTTTCGTAGGTGGAGTGGCTGCCTATTTGACGGCCTTTACATTTTTATTTTTTGATTTTGGTTCTAAAAATGTTGACACAATCTGGTAAACACAGAATATTGTCGATGTTAATAACATTCAAACGAAATTTGTTGAATTATTACATAAGTTGAGACGGTAGAATAGGAAGGAATCAAAATGTGAAACGAATGAAATGCGCTGGACACTCTTCGCAGAGTGTCAAAGAACATGGACCTATTCAATTGACTCCTTGCATTACGTTTAAGAATGAATGGATGAATTGGAATAAATTTTATTTTAATAATAATTCCAATCTTATTCAGAAAGCATAGAAATTCAAGATTATTGAAGTTAAACTAGTAATGAAAGGGAGCTTTTTTTTTATTGTATCACTTTTTACAATGAGGATGATTATGAAGTGTTTTTTTTTCATTTCATCGTATAGCTTCCGTTTTTTACAGTTTCTCATTCCTTCAACCCGTTTTGCCCCATATTTGTTTTTCCCAATGCTCGTTCCAGTATTGTACGGTGGTGGGCAGGCTTAGCTTTGGGAAGCTAAGCCTGATGCCCACCACCGTAGTGCGCTAGCCCCATAGGGCTAGGATGGTCATGAATAATTATTTTTGAAAGATCGAAAATTGACAGAAAAACGGGTACATTGAATAGGCATAAACATGGCGGCCGCGGCGGCACCAGTTTGAAAAAATTCAAAATTTATCATACTGACTCACGTTTGGGATAAAGCTACTCAGCGTAACTAAAAATTTCTCAAGTTGGATTATATACTGAAAGAATAGCAATTTTTTCATTTAGTTTATCAACAAATAATCGGTTAAACGTGAAAATTGACTGAAAAAACTTAACGATTGAAATTAGAAAAATGCCGCCATGGATTTTTTGCCGGATATTTAATGCTCTACACATCAAGTCGTATCAATTTTCATTCTCTCTGACGGTTTCGCCGGCGTAAACCGGAAAAGGTTGCGGATGCTTAATTTTGCAGTTTTTGATTTTTGTAACAATTTCCCGGTCTGCTGGAATCCTAAAAACTTGATATGTATTTCATATCATTTTTCCACATGATATGTCGCAATTTTTGTCCTTCTATCATCCTTGATATCAGCTAAAATAAAATCCTTATTTGACTAACTTATAATTAAATGTGGTACAGTTGAAAAAAAGTGTGTTTCTGGCACTACAGGGAACGGGGAACAACGCAAAAGCCTAATGGATATATATAAGGAGTAAGGTGAAAAAATATTCATTTATTTTGCAAGGCACAAAGAAAGCAACGTGAATTTCTAATAAATTTTCCCTGATGAGGACTTCTCAGGAGGGACTTTGGAATGAAATATGACAGATTATTGATCTCTTTTCAAAGCCTTAAAATTGCTGGTAACTGCCGGCTTATATTTAAGAAGACCATGGAAATGATTTCCTTTGAAATTATTTCTCAGCAAATATTTTTATACAAATGTATTTTTGAAAAAATAAATGATCAATGGAAAAAAATCATCAGCTATGAAGCTCAATGGAAGATTAATTGTTGAAAATGATATGGAAAGTATATAATCTAAACGAGTCACTTTGTATTGTAGTCACTTTATAGTCACTTTGGAAAGAAAATGAAAGAAAATCAAGTTACGCCATTCGCAGAGAAAACAGAATGATGGAACATTAAATTTACAATATTCATTAAAGTAAATGATGGATAAGAGTTCGAGAAAACAGAATTAATTAATTTTCCGCATGATAAACAGGAGAATAAGCGATTAAGGCACAATTAATAATTTGTCAGTTTGAAGAATTTGAAGTTACCACGTATTCTTTCAACACTAACTTCACGCGACTCATTAACCAATCAGAATTGCGTAGTTTGAACTTTCAGAAAGATATTTGTTGTTTATTAATTAATCTAGGGAAAATATTTATTTCGTCCCTCAAACTATAAACTTTTCGGAAAAATAATCAAAAAATTTAATAATATTGTTAATAATGATCATATTTATTCGCCCTATCAATAATGATGAATTATCCCTGAACGCGCGAGAAGTGACCAAAAATAAAAAGGCCTACAACAACAAACCAACTTTTTCTATGAATCGTCCTTGAAAGGAAGTTCTTTTGTTTCCCAATGATGAAAGGTGGAGTTTCGAAAAGTTGGAAAAATAAAGTCATGGCGTTTTATGTTTAACTACCAATGTTCATAAAGATTGTAAGAAAAAAATTATTGAATATGCTTAAAACATGGCAGAACCTTGAAAAGAAATTAGCGAGTTAATTAGTGTCAGACCTTTCCATTAAATAAAAATTTGGATATTCACGAATGAATGAAGGAGGATGAAAAGATCAATGTCCATTAAACAAATGAATTTTTTACCTCTCACGTTGAAACTTGAGGCTCTGGACGACCTGTGGAATTTTCTGTCGAAAATTCCAAAGATGTAGTGTGTCATCAGCAGTCGCTGAAACTAGGGCACCCTCATTGATGAGAAACTGTAGTTGAAGAACAGCTGCACCACCCTCGTGTTTGACGTGAACATCGACTCCTGGTCTTCCCAAACTTTATTTTTTTTTTTCGTCTCAAGGTCAAGGAAAATACAAGTTTGTGGTGAGTGGTCATAAAGATATTTATGACGCAGTGAAAATTTCTGATGAGGTAAAAAGAGATAAAAAGGGATGCGTCCAAAAATTTCATGAATCTCATACATATTATTTCGTGAGTATCGCAGGAACTGTTGATTCTAGTTACAAATATAATCAGACCTTTTTTTAGAAAATTTACTTTCATACAAGAAAGTCTACGGACATTTCTTATTAAATTCTATGTATGTCGGAATATCTGCGAAAGAGATTGTGAATTTCATTTAAAAATTGATGAAAATTCGCTATGAAAATGAAACAGATGAATTATTCATCAAAAGGATACATTCTGAGGGATCCAGTTTTGGTGCCAATTGCCAGAAGCTTTTGCACTGGATCGAAAGCCACTGCTGTTGGTTGATGTGGAAATCCATGTCTGAAGGTCTGAAACATTGAAATTTCTTTTTTCTCATCACACATTCTTTCCTCCTTCTCAAGTCCTGCAGAAAGGAATTAAAGCATTTCTTTTTTCTTGAATAATGGAGGTAGTCTGGCTAATATCGACTAAACTGTCAGATGGTTTAGAATGGCCAGTAAGGAACAGAACTTTATCGTGTCTCGTTTCCATTCCTAGTGACAGCTCTAACGGAAGACCAGGGTACGGTTTCCTGTTTCGATTTTATTCAAAAACTTATTCTTCAAGAGTTTAAACAAGGTCTCATCGTACTATCAGTCTGACGCCTCTGACCAGACGAGTCAATCTTATGTCATGGATAGTTGAAATGATGAAAAAATTAAAGGTAAAATATCGTATTTATAATTATAGAATTATCTACATGCGGAGTGGTATTGAGGGAGAATGCCAAAATGTATTTTCTGGGAAAATCAAAACCGGAACTCAAAAAGGAAATGTTTCGAATAAATACCTTAACGAGATACCTTAACGAGATGAATTTGTAATTGACAAGCGAAGATCTTCATTTTCAATAGAAAATAACTCATATAATCGCCTCATTATTCGTTGAATTATCTCGGATAATAAGTAAATTCGGAGAGGAATCTATCTGAACTTTTTTGAAGCTAAAGAAATTTCTAAGATAAATGGCATTCCCCCTAAAACCACGAGGTTTTGGATTATCTCAATAATGGCTGATTTCACAAAAAAAAGTCAAGAGACCGTTTTTGAACCTGACAGAATTCGTCATAAAAAACTCACCTGGATATTTTTCAACCCTTAGCCATTCCCTAGTAACACCACAATTCGGAGAAATCTTGCAGAAAAATTTTTAAAAGCCAATTATCCACGGGTAAAGTTTTGTACTGGCAAACTCAATTCTCATAGGCAACTCTCTTCTTGAAATTCCTTAAACGTTCATACGAACTCAGCTAAAAATAATAGCATAAAAACTGGAAAAACACATAACCACTTTCAGTAGATTATCAGAGTTGCAACGTAAAATAATTAGAGAAACATCGCATCCTTGAAAATCCATTGAAAGTGGTTATCTATTTCTTCAACACCCCAGAATGTTCAACTAAATTTATTATTACAGAGATGAACATGAACGTCAGTTGATATTTTGTAAATTTATTTACACTATTTCACAGAATGGTACCCTATGATAGTAAGGGTATCGAAACACTATCATTTGAAATATAATTTGGAATATAGAGAGCTTAAATACAAATTCATGTTTCGAGCTGAATGGATTATGCGTAGTAAGAATAATTATATAAAAAAGGAATATATATTAAAAAATTGATCAGCTAACAGGATAGATCAAGAATATTGGTAGTCTGAAAATAATTGATCATATTTTTAAAAACGGTTCATGCTTTTCAAAAATTACATTCCTCAGCTCGAATGCATTTAGTAAGTATGAACTTTTAAAATATAATTCGTTGGTATCCGATTTAAGGAACTACAAAGAAACCCCAGAGTGTCACTAGCATTTAACTCGTTTAGTTTAGGCAGAAAAAGCTCATCAGTTTATGAGAATGTTTCTTCCAGAAAATTCTAGCTTTCTATGCGGAAGATTTCTCCAAACGGAATGTCCAAATTCTCCATAGGATTCCCTGCAGAATTTCCTACGTAAATTCTCAGAAGAAAAGTTTATACACATTTCTTACACGTGAAATCACCCGAAAAACTAATGTACACGTCAATCCTCAAATCAAAGGCGAACGAAGGAGGAGACGGCCGATAATATTTCCCATAATCACCCTCCTACATCCATTATTTCACAAGGCGATGAACGATAAACCCGAAAGCCTGGCTAAAATTCATACCATTGACTCTCGCAAATTCAAATTCATCAAGTGTACTCGATCGAACTCCTCTAGAACAGCTCTCGATTCTGATTCGTCGGACGAGCACATTTCATGTGGACTTGGCTGCCAATTGACTCGGCAATCTTTCCACATTTCGACCCATTCAAATCCCCTTAATCCCTTCACAATAATAATAAGTAAAGAAAATATATTCCCTTACCTTTTTGACTTGAAAATGTTCTGGTCGTAAATTTTCAATAATTTCCTGATCTGGCTTAACCTGTTGAGCTACAGACGATCGAAAACCGTCGAGGACACCTTTGATGGTAAATTTTTTCATCTCGTTGGTATAAAAAAAGTGCTATTTATGTTGAATGTTATTTTCACATGTACATAATTCTGCTGCAATAAGTTTAATATATTATTTTCTACAATTGGGCCATTGACTTGTCGTTATTTTTTCCATTATTTATCATCAAATCATACTCCCATGTTGATTTCTAACGATATATTAAGCATCCTCATTATATTCATGATGTTCATTTATTCTCATTGAATGAGCAATCAACTATGACACTAGATACGCTGTAGGATCGGTCGAAAAACGCTCTACATTTTGATTATTGTACGTCATATTGCACCACAACCGTATTTTATTGGTTTAACGAAACGGTTAATTGCGGTTTCAACGGATTTTAATACATTGCAGTTGTTTTTTTGGGATAAAACTTCGGTTTGACGGGCTTTTTGACGAAGTATTGGGGGAGTTTTTTCGGGGGTGTATACTCCGATGGAAAGCACGACCGTGGCACGACTGTTTTGGTAGATGACAGCAATGCAGTGTTGTTTAATCGTGGAAAGCCTGGAGGATCAATAACTTGGCAACAGGCTCGCACTTGCTAGTACCGCTGATGCATGGATGGGACTAACACAAGTGAAATGGTTTGCGGAAAACTTCACGGAGATGTGCAGTATATCCGGGATTGAGATAATTAGGATAATTTGGTTTAGATGATGTTACATTTTTTTTTTCAATAGATTTCTGAGGATTTATCTGTTTTCTTTAGAAAGATGAAATGAGAACAAACACTTGGTCGAATAAATTTGCTCCTCTTTAGATGGCCTCGGCTGATTCAGGTGGGAAGGCATTTATTTGGCCAGATGAATGACATTTTATGATTGTGGAGAATATTATATGCAGTGTATGAAGTTATCTCGAAGATAATTCTTGCCCAATAAGGGTGGGGATTCGTTTAGATCAATTTCCAGATGTCATTTCAGGCGGAGAATTGGAGCAGAAAATTGAAACGGTGTTATCAATTGTTGGTAATGGTCCGTTTATGACTAGTTCTTTTTCGTAATTATGTATTTATCTTGGAAATGATCGACTTTGACCATAGAGAATGGTTCTATTGTCCATGACTGTAAGGTAAAGTGTGCAGATATATTTTTTTCGTGTTTTCTCCATTATTATTAGAATATTATCTAATTCTATTAGATTACATAAAATGACAGGTAGATTGATTCTGACGTTATCCGGAAGATGGGGTGCAGCCAATTCCGGACCGCAAAGCGATTTCTCGCCGTCTGGTGGTGGTTTCTAGAATTACTATCTTGCGGACCAATCTGATGGTAGTGCGCCAAGGCTCTGGAGTATGAAATAGCAAATTATTCATTGATGTAGACACAAAAAATGTAGAGCTAAAAAAGTTCATTACCAAATTTTTTTAACTTGCTTTCGGTTACAAGATATTCAACAAACAATGGAGTCAACCGACTCGGCTAATTTCATTATAGAACATTCATCTCTACATGAAATACTTACGCTGCTTTATATAATCGTCAAGAGAGAAATGTTGACTGCAAACTTCCATGTTTTCATCGTAAATTCCTCTCAGTTTCAATGCTTCCATCCATTTGTTCCGTAAAATTAAATTGGATGGAAAACTATGGAAACTAAAATTCAGTTTATCCTTTACTTTGCACTCTGGAACACAGCATCCTCTTTTCGAATTCTTGAGATAATTGTTCTGTGCCATTTTCATAAACAATCGGTAGGTTATAAAATCAAGATTTAATTCACGGCTTGTACTTGAAACAATTTGACATTTCAGCACTGTTTGAGGTTAGGGTTCTGAGAAGCTCCGCAAGTTAGTAGTTTTCCACGATCCCGCATTTTTGGCCATAGCGCCGACGGCAGTTGTGCGATCGCGAATGGGGTTAGGAAGAAGCGAAATTATCTGCAGATTCAGATAATTAGAAGAAAATAGCGGTGTTCGGCCCCTCGTTGTTGGTCGGCCTTAAAAACATAATAGAATAGAATAGAATATGTAAGCAGTATTATGCATTATTTGTGATTTTGCGTTATGTTTTTTCGCTAATTGGACATTGATCTGTATATTTTCACCGACTATTATAGCGCTTTCCTTGACATGTTTTTTTTTTCTAACTTATCCGGGTGTGATTTTTTAAAACTTTTTTTGTTTTCAATTTCGACGTATTTCTTGGGAAGAGAAATTTCGATAAAACAATTGAACCTTATCAGGTTAGGGGGGCTGAGGGTTTCGGGTTTATTTCAATCCTCAAGAAGCACGTGAAAATCCGAAACAAAAAAATTCGTTACGAAGAAACCCACCGAGATAAGCTGGAAAAAAATCGCGCCAAGAAAAGCGGGGTGGGGGTCATTCTGCCGAAAGCGTCAAATTACCGACAGGGTCAAGTTACCGACACGGGTATGGCTGACGGAAATTCCCTAGACCATTTAATGTGATGTCTTGACGTTGAAATTTATAGATGGGGCTATTAATCAGCCATAGCAGTCCGCGAGATTCAAATTGTTGTTGGAAAATAATTTAAATAGTTCAGAAAATTAAAAATATACCAGAAATAGAAGAATAAAGAAAGTCTGGAATACAATGGACAAAGAGAACGAAAAACAGCATCGCAAGCGTGAGAAAAACCGTTACGGAAATAGTAAATGTCAAATACTTGAGTTTT